ACCGTGTGACTTAACCTCATCCGGGCGCATGTGCATGTGTGCCCGAGATCCCGAGAGAAGAATGGAGTGAGTACACATGCCCTATAGCAGAAATCTCTCAAAAAAAAAAAAAAAATGAGAGAGAGGGAGAGAAGGAAAGTGAGAAAGCAAGTCACCAATTCTAGGACTTGAACTGTGGTCATCCATGTGGAAGTCTAGTGCCTCAATCACTGTGCCACCTGCTGGACCAAGGAGGGCTAGATTCTGATCCCTGTGTTACATCAGACAAGCACTTTATATCTCCGAACTTCTATTTCCTCAGTTATGAATTGAATAGATTCTGTTTTGTGGGTCCTGTTCTGAGATTCTGAGCTTGAGTAGCCCAACCAGCCTGGTCCTATGAGCAGGCTTACCCCTTGCTTGGCAACACACAGTGGCCCTGGTGACAGTGCCCTCAGCAACACACAGTGACCCCAGTGACAGTGCCCTCGGCAACACACAGTGGCCTGGTGACAGTGCCCTTGGCAACTCACAGTGGCCCTGGTGTCTGGCAGGCGAGAATATGCCAGGGTCTCCTGGGCATGGGTCTCAGGATGCCATGAGTCATGTGGTATGTATTTTCCTGACTAACATACCAAGTCATTAATTACCTTTTTAAATGTGAGCAAAACACAAAGTCCATGGAAGTCACTTTTTGTGACAAAAAAGTAGGAAAACAACTATAGTGCAATTCTCTCCCTTGAAGCTATTGGGTGACTCTTTCATGGGCTCATGTCTTCTGTTCTCTAAAGACCATGGTTGGGACCAGCAGTTAGCGTAATGGCTATGTTGCTGGACTCCCATGTAGTCGACCGCGGTTCGAGTCCTGGACACGGTGGCTTAAAACTCACGCCGGGGCGCGTGTGCGTGCGTGCCTAAGATCCCGAGAGGAGAATGGAGGAGAAGGGATTGCGGCGTGGCCATCCCCCCTGGGGGGTGATTTCTCGCTTTCCATCTCTGTCTCTCTCTGTCTGGCGAGCGCACGTGCCCTATGGCAAAAACCTCTCCAAAAAAATAGAAAGACCGTGGTTTGTTTCTTTAGGATATTGACATGCCCCTTCTTTCCTCTCCCCTTCCAGTTGCTAAGGTATTGCATTAAGAATGCACCATGGCCTGGGACCAGCAGTTAGCGTATTGGCTATGTCGCTGGACTCCCATGTAGTCGATCGCAGTTCGAGTCCCGGACCCAGTGGCTTAAAACTCACACTGGGCACGTGTGCGTGCCCAAGATCCCGAGAGGAGAATGAAGGAGAAGGGATTGTGGCGTGGCCATCCCCCCCTGGGGGATGATTTCTCGCTTTCTGTCTCTCTGTCTCTGTCTGTCTGGCGAATGCACGCACCCTATAGCAAAAACCTCTCAAAAAAAAAAAAAAGATAAAAGAATGCATCATGGCCTTATCCTTGACCTCTCTGTAGCTATCCTATCACCAGAAGTTCCAAGAAACCCGACTTGCAGTGGAAAGCCATGTTTCCATTCCAGTTCAACTGAGCACCTGTCACACACCCATCAGTAATGATGTCTTGGGGCCAGCAGATGGTATGGTGATTAAGGCACTGGATTCCCACACAGCTGGCCATGGTTCAAGTATTGGGCTGTGTGGCTTTCTCTCTCTCTCTCTCGCTCACTCACTCTCTCTCTCTCTCTCTCTCTCTCTCACTGCCCGTCTCATTCTGGTGAGTGTATATGCCCTATAGCAAATTGAAAAATACTAATAAATTAAATAATTCTTTTTAAAGAGTTATATGATTTCTTACAGAGACAGTGTTTCTCAGTGAAGGAGTTGCATTTTGCCTTGGGCAGGGGAGGGAAAGCAAATTGACAGCCTTAGAGAGGCTTTTTCAAACTAAGAGAACCTCCACCTCAAACACAGACTGACATGCTCCCCCACAGGAATGTGCCCCTGTCTACCATATTAGGAACCACTGCCCACAGCCACGTTACCTTTTTTGTTTGTTTGTTACAGGGAATGTGCGCTTACCACTTACCGGAGAGAGACAGAGAGAGAGGGAAAGTGAGAAATCACCCTCGGGGGGGGGGGGGTATGGCCACACCACAATCCTTTCTTCTTCATTCTCCTCTTGAGATTTTGGGCATACATGCACACACACCTAGTGTGGGGTTTTTTGTTTTGTATTTACCATGAATCAAATTTCCCACAAAGGGAATTTTATTGACTACTGTATTCCCTCACAAAAAGACCAACTGTAACAAAATGAGGTGAACAGTCACCTCAACATTTCATTGTCTTCATAATAAAAAAGATGAGGCTGAGAACTGGATCACTTGACCCTTTCTCTTACCTCCTCCCAGTTCAAAATGCTTACATCTCTTCCTAGCCAGCGTTCTCCTAGACCTGCAGTCGGGCTCAGCACATTCGAGCCTCAGCACCGTCTTCATTGTAGTTTTTGCCTTTAAATGAGCCTTACTCCCCCCCCCCCAGCCACTCTGCTTCCTGTCATAACGCCGCTTTCCTGAGCATACAGAGAGTCTTTGCCCTTTTTGCACTGTGTCACTTGTGAGGTTGGTGCTTGCTGCTCTTCTTACAGCAGGGCTGGCGGGTTTTAGGGACGTTCACCATGCTTGCGGGCCTGCTATCTGCACAGAAATTTTTTTTTAATTATTAACTTTTTAAAAATTATTTAATTTTTTTCTGTTTTCTTTTTTAAGATTTATTTATATTCATCCACTGTACATAAGTACAGTATACAAAATTATATTTTTCCATCCAGAATACATTGTATATTAGCTCAATCAAGGATATTACCATACACGTTATTGTCAAAAAATAATTTTCTATTTCTGTTTCTTATATATTTTGCTTCTTTTTTCCCCTTGATTCCTTGTCTCTCACCCTCTCCCATTTCCTCTTCTTCTCCCACACCTCTGGTATCTACAGTTGTTTACCATGCCTTTTGTTTTTTCACATTTTATTGATTCACTAAAGATCTTCATTAATCTAAATACTTTCAGTAACAAGCACAGCTGATATATACATATCTATGCACACGTGTCTGACTTTAGGCATAAACCTCTGAGTAAAGTGATATAAAGTAGCACCTAACTGGGCCTATATAGCTTACTGCAGTCATTAAATAGGCATTAATTGGTATTTTTAATGCATTTTTTTTAATTTCAAGAAGAACAGTTTTAATTTTTATAGCTCAAAATCAAAAAATGTTAAGAGAAATTTGCTTAAAACTTAAAGCCAGGAAAAAGGTTAGGATTCAGTTCAAATAGTAGGTAGATGAACCTATCAACAGTTCAATTAAATAAGAATTACTTAATTTTATTTATTATTGTGTGTGTGTGTATATATTTGACCAGAAACAGAAAGTGAGAACGCCTGCTGCCAGGTCAAGGACTCAACCCAAGGTCAGCCATGTGGGAGTCCAGTGCTTCAACCACCACACCACCTGCCAGCCCCACCTGGTACATTTTTCAAGCCACCAGGTTAGGACTGAAACAACATAGTTGGCCATGTGGGATCCAACATCACCTGCTGGCCTTCAGCCATATTATCCTTTTGAAATCTTTCCTTTTGTCTAGTAGGTACTGCTCCTGAATTTTGGATGCAGGCAGACTTGGAGGAGTGATGATAGTGCAGGCCCCGGGAGTGATCAGTGCAGACAGAGCAAAATGTCTGCATCCACACCCTGCCAAAGCCCGTGAGACATGGGAGCCAGACAGCAAGAGGCAGAGAAGTGCTCGACCACTCTCTCTCACACACCGCGTGGCACCACTGTGGGAAACAGAGCAAAGCCAAACCTGGCTGATAGCTCCATCTTCAGTGCTCATTCCACAGGATGTCTGTTTTCCTTAAGGATTTTTGTTGTTGTTAAATGATTACTTTATTTACTTTTATTCACCATCATTATTATTATTTTTTAAATTTGACCAGAGAGATAGAGAGAGAAAGGGAAAGTGAGAAAGCAAGCCTCCAGGTCAGGACGCAAACTGCAGTCGGCCATGTGGGAGTCCAGTGCCTTAATCACCATGCCACCTGCCAGTCCCCACCTTAAGTTTTTCTTGGCAAACATTGGGGGCAAAGTTGAGTTGGTAGGAGTGTTGGGGTTTTTTTTTTTCCATTTTATTTTATAATTTCTTATTTATGTTTAATAGTACATCATTATGGGCTATAATATGGTTTTTCAAAGCACTCATGTTGTGCATGATAGTCAAATCAAAGATATTACCAGGAAAGGTTCTTATTAATTTCCAGGCTAACATACTCTCCTTCCTTTTAGTTCAAAGAAGGCAGTCAATCTTCATGTGGTTTAGAAGGATGCTTTAGGATTTTCTTAGGACAATGATCATAAACTTGGGGATCTTCCTTCTTTCTTTCTTTCTTTTTTTTTTTTTTTTTTTTGACAGAGATTTTTGTTGTAGTACTCATGTACTCACCAGAGAGTACATCCCCCAGGGGGATGGCCATGTCACATTCCCTTCTCTTCTAGTCTCTTCTCAAGATCTTGGGCACAAATCACATGCAGCTGGCATCAGTTTTAAGTTTCTGGGCCTGGGACTCGAATCACAGTCAACGACGTGGGAGTCCAGCGACATAAACATTACGCCATCTGCTGGTCCTGAGGATCTTCTTAAAAGGTGTAGCATGGGCCTGATACTCTGCATCATGAATAAGCTTCCAAGTGATGCTAATACCCTGATATGAGAGCTGCAGTCAGTGGCAAGGCCTGAGAAGAAAAGGAAGTTTAGATTGCTCTTCATTTCTGTTTGTTAATTACTTGAATCTCAATGCCCAAGACTCCCAGAGTCCCATACAGGTGCCTCCCTCTTCCTACCTCCTCCTTAAAGTTGCAAACGCTGGTCCTCTTCCTCCTGGATATGTTTACATTCTCAAATGGATCCTCTGTTTTATTCTTCAGCCTAAAACCAGAAGCAACAAAAACTGCCAGTTGTCAGGGACAATTTCTTTTTGCTTTGAACTGATGGCATTTCTTTTTTTTTCCCAACAAAGATTCATTCTGTTACTGTGTTCTGACTCACTTCACTGACTTTTCTTTTTCATCAGCCATGATATTGGGTTGTTGGAAAAGTCATGACACACTTTTTGCATAGAAAAAACACATCATGATTTTTTTCAACAATCCAACACTTTTCTTATTCTAAAATGATATATGCTATATATTAAGGTGTTATATAATTTGCTACAATGAAATAAAAGTATTTTACATGAAAATATTTGAAATATGTCTACTACTAATACAGTAGACTACAGACAGTGGTACCATAACTTCAGAATTCAAAAAAACTGGTAGAATTTAAGAGAATTTTACTACATTTTCACTACTCCCCTATCCCTGGAGATACTGTAGTTATCTGTGACTGTCTAACAGAGTACCACAAAACTTAGCGTAAAATAACAAGAATTTATTATTTTAGAGTTTCTGTGGCTCAAGAATTCAGGAGCAGCTTAGCTAGCTGATTCTGGCTCAGAGTCAACCAGGAGGTTGTAGTCAGAAGGTTCACTGAGGCTGCAGTTATCTGAAGGCTTGACTGGGGCTGCAAAAGTCAGACACTCATTTCTGCTTTACTCTATTGTTAGAAGTAAGTCATTAAGTCCAACCCACATTCAAAGGGTGGGAATTAAGCTCTCCCTCATAGAATGAGGAGTTTCAAATAATTTATGAACATATATTTAAGTGACCACAGATGCTCCCTAGTGAAGGAGCCACTGTGGTAAGAAACTACTCAAAGGTTTGGTGCTCCTTATAATCACACAGGTCTCCTAAGAAAAGCAAAATCTAGGAGACCTGTGAGATGATGAGAAAAGACCAATTTCCTTGTAAAAACATTTTAAGGGGCCAGCAGGTGGCATTGCAGATAAGGCACTGGACTCCCACATGATCAACTGGGGTTCCAGTCCCAGACCTAGTGGCTTGAAAATTACGCCAGGCATGTTTGATAAAAAGTGTTTGAATATAGAAGATTTATTGCTGAGTGAAGCAAGCCAGGCTATGAAAGAAAGATATTGTATGTATCCACTTAATATATACCAGCTATCCACACTCTATGGTAGAGATTGAAATATCAGAAGGCATTGGGACTCACAGGTAGCGTGGTGGTTAACAGCACTGGACTCCCACATGGCAGACCATGGTTCAAGTCCTGGACCTGGCGGCTTGCTTTCTCACTTTCCCTCCCTCCCTCCCTCCCCCACTCTCTCTCTCCCTTTCTCTCTCCCTC